ACCTTCACAGCTGATTGAATAGCTCAATAAGCTAGGTGTCTGTCTGTGGAGCTAAAGGTTGGGAGTGCAATCCCCTAATTTGCCTCCAGGAGGAAAGGACAGCCTGTGTAGTTTTCGGCAAGCTGGACAGCCCCAGAGTACACCCAGTAATCTACTGAGAAGATCCTGCCATAAACCAGAATTGACTTGACAGCATGTAATACTTATTATTAGTTTCTTCATAATGTTCTGCCTGCTCCAGATGCTGAAGTCAGAAGGATAGCTTTTGCAAACATGTTTGTTGCCTGTCTTTGAAGGAAGGAAGGTCTGCTTTCAAAATTCTATTAGTCCTCAAACTGTGGATAAAGGTTTTAATACAAATGTAAAAAAGAATTAGAAACAACGGAGAAAATGAAAATAAGCCCACCTGCCTTGTTGTGATGGGTTTTCAGTAGTCAGTTCAAGTATCTTAAGCATGACTGCATTTTTTTTCAGGACGGGAGTATTGTAGAGTCTTAAGGCAAAATTATTTTTTGCTAAAAGGCGAACATCCATGATGATAAAAATGATAACACACTTTTGCAATTTTTTCTGCAGCACAAAAAAATTCTGTGGCCTTCAGAATATAATTGATATGACCCATCTGAAATTAAGAATTCTTCAACCCCATTGATTCCAGTGAAAATGATTTAAAAATATACTTAATTGTAGCTAGGTGGTGCCTCATATATTTTTGGATCCCTGATACAGAGCAAGCAAAGCTTGGAAAAGTTACCTTATCAATACTAGCCCCAGAATTCTTTAGCCATAATACAGTGGCTTGAAGTAGTAACATTTATGAACTTTGAAAATATAGCTGAATAAGTTTCTTGTGGTTTGAGGACAGTTTGCCCAGCTGAGCTATTAAGATTTCCACTTCCCTTCTTTAACAAGACATTCAGATTTCAGTTTTTAGAATTTCCGTGATAAACAGCAGTGCTTACATGTTTAGGTAATTAAATTGTAGGAATGGTATGGACAGAGTTTTATGTTGTGTGGTTTTTTTTAAGAAGTAATGTGTTAGTGACAAGTTGTCAACTTTTATGGAAGCTACTGATCATTTTATGAGTATTGAGTTAGTTTACTTTGCTGTTACTTTACAAAAATAAGGAAATATCGTCAAAAATTGCCCCAGTGACCTCCCAATCAACATTTTAGATGAGAAAAGTAAATGGTACCTGTTACACACACATAATGCTAAAGAATTTTATTTTACTTCTTAATATTATTATATTGTTATGCCAACCTATGGTTCTTCTTTGTGGTCTCTGTGAATGCACACAATTTGGTTGTTCTGCGCCTGCGCTGAACCTCTCTGAAGTTTCTAGAGCTTAAAGACACATGATTAGTGGGAGGTTCCCCCGTGGAGCACATGCTCCACCCATCCTTGGTCCCCTAGTTCCTTTTTTCCTGCTGTGTTGAACAGACCTGTCGGAAAGATAGAGCATTATATTGAATTGTATCATCTTCTTCAATCATCATTATTTCTACAATCTGGCTCCTACAGCACAGCCTTCTCCCACATAAGCATCGGTATCAAGACCTCAAGATCTCAATGACATCAGAGGTTAGTGTTGGTAAATTTGATGGTGATTCTTGTGATGTATCAGAAGCCAGGTCTTGATGAAGATGAGGAGGAGGGAGATAGATCCTCGATCTCAGGAATCTCAATAAATTCATTTGACCTCAACACTTCAGAATGTTGTCTTTAGACACTATCATTCCTCTGCTTTCACAGGGAGATTGGTTTGTCATCATTGATCTCCAAGATGCCTACTTTCACATCTCTGTTTATCCAGATCACCACAAATTTCTTTGGTTCCGGTTTGACGACATCACATACCAGTTTTGCTCTCTCCCGTTCGGGCTTTCCACAACACTGAGAACCTTTACAAAATGCATGGCACCAGTCTCCGCCTACCTTTGACTTCAAGGTATCAACATATTTCCTTGCATAGACGACTGACTGATAGTCTCAACCTTGTATCATGATGCCATCAGAGCTACCCATCTCACTCTCGACACACTCGGCCTCAAGGTGAATCTCACAAAATCACATCTGGTACCTTCTCAAGATGCCACCTAAATCAGAGCCCACTTCAGTTCTCTGTGGGCCAGAGCATTTCTTCCACAAGAGAGAATCTTGAAACTAAAAAAGGCTATTCAACCCTTTCAACTTCTAGCTTTGGTATCAGCCCATCATGTCCAGCATCTTCTCGGACTCATGGCCTGGACAACTTCAGTTATACAACACGCTCGACTCAAAATGAGATCACTTCAGTTGTGGTACCTGTCCCTATTTGACCCCATGACGGATCACCCATCTATGCATCTAACAGTAACATCCAAACTCGCACGTCAACTTACTTGGTGGACGTTTTTCCTGAATCTGACTACCCTTTTTGCCTCTTCAACCGACAATACAAGTTACCACCGATGCCAGCCCATCTGGTTGGGGAGCACACTATCTGCATCACAAGGTTCGTGGCCTATGGACAAATCAAGAAAAAACATCACATCAATCATATCTCAAACTTTTAGCAATTATAAGGGCTTTCCACACTTTCTTACCACTTATTGCAGGATGTGCAGTCCAACTCACTACGGACAATACGACGGCCCCTTACTACATAAACAAGGAGGCACACATTTTCTATTCCTCCTATACCTGACCGTCGAGCTCTGGGAATGGTGTTACCTACATCACATCTTCCCAATAGCAGTCCACATAGCCACAGAAGAGAACTCTCTAGCAGAGTACCTCTGTCGCCTGACATTGAGGACACATGAATGGTCCCTAAACAACACCATCTTCGATCTCCTGTGCGACCGTTGGGGCACTCCTACCATCGACATCTTTGCTTCTCGAGCAAATGACAACATTACTGTTCTCAAGCCAGTGTTGACAAGAACTTCATCGGAGACACGTTCGTGATAGACTGGGACCAGGACCTACTCTATCTATTTCCTCCCATACCACTTATACAAAGGACCATCATTCAACTTTGACAGTTCCAGTCCAATGCAATCCTTCTCGCCTCATGGTGGCTGAGGCAACTGTGGTTCACCCACCTCAGGTCGATGTCAACCGACTCATTCAGACTCCCTCTGATCCCCAGTCTTCTCACACAGGACGATGGAATGATCTACCACCTGACATACCATCTCTGAATCTGACAGCCTGGAGGATACTCCCTCCATAAAGGATGTGCTTGAGCGAGCTTGAAAACCCTTGCTCAGCTACTATATCAGAATAATGGACAGCATTCCTCTCCTTTACTGACTCTCACAGCTTACCTGCAAAACCAGTTTCCTTGAAAACTTTACTTACTTTTGTCCTCCATCTATTCAATTTTGGACTGTCCTACTCTACTTTGAAAGTCTATATCTTTGCTATTGTAGCTCGTCAACTTCCCAACTCTAAATCAGCTAAACTCTTTTCTCACCCAACTGTAAGAAGGTTTCTTAAAGGACTGAACAATATTAGTCCTCCACGCCAACATATCCCTCAATCGTCTCTACTACTTGTCCTTAATACATGTATGCATCCACCCTTTGAACTTATGGCTATGTGCAATCTCAAATTACTATCATTGAAAACGTCCTTTCTTATAGCAATAACATTCGCTAAACAAGCTAGCGAACTTGCTGCCCTAAGTTCCGATCCACCCTTCCTCCAATTCCATACTGATAAAGTCACATTGTACTTCAATGTTTCCTTCTTACCCAAAGTTGTATCTGAGTTTCACCTTAATCAACCAATTATCCTACCAACACTCTTTCCGTCACCATCAACGCCTCTCGAGCACATGCTCCATTCACTTGACGTAAGACGTTCTCTTGCCTTCTGCATTGACAGGAAGCCTTTCAGGAAATCACACTGACTTTTTCTATGTTTTCACAGTCCTCACAAAGGGCCACCAGCTTCCCCACAATCTATTTCTAGATAGATTGTCCAAACTATGTCATTGGCGTACGAGTTATCAGGCAAGTCACCTCCTGAATACTTAACGGCACACTCCACCAGAGCGCTGTCAATATCTGCTGCCTTCCAGCTTGAGATTGAACTCCCTCACATTTGCCGTGTGGCCACATAGTCTGCTCCATCAACCTTTATCAGGCATGACCATTTGGATGTCAGAGCACGGAGTGATGCTGGTTTTGGCAGAGCTGTCTTGGCATCCTTTCTACCATGACGTCCCACCATCCGGTAAGTTAGCTTGCTTGTCACCCAATTGTGTGCATTCACAGAGGCCACAAAGAAAAAAGAGAGGTTACCTACCTGTAACCATGGTTCTTCTAGTGGTCCTCTGTGAATCCACACATCCCGCCCATCCTCCCCTCTGTCCGTCATGTTTTATCTTAAATAGTTCTTTTACCCGGCGGACACTTGTCAGGAACTGAGGGGACCAAGGACGGGCGGAGCATGCATTCCATGGGGGAACCTCCCACTATTCATGTGTCTTTAAGCTCTAGAAACTTCCAAGAGGTTCAGTGCAGGCACAGAACAACTCAGTTGTGTACATTCACAGAGGACCACTAGAAGAACCATGGCTAGAGCTAGGTAACCTCTCTTTTTAAGCAATAAAGCTTGATCCTCTTATTGTTATGCTCTCATTAACAACAGGCAATTCATTACATTAGGTCTTGTACGGCTTTAAAAGAAAAATGTATTTATAGTCTTGAAAAATAAACCAGGATTTAGTGGCTCAACGTGATGTTATGTACGGTACCTCTGAACATGCCTCTGGAGTGGTTCCTGTGTTCAACTGTCCATCTGACATGTCATTTTCTTGAGGGGAAAAACACTTCTGTTTCCCAAAAGAGCAACAGCAAAGGAGCAGAATGAATGCTTGTTTCTGTAGGAATTAGTTGTGCAAAGATTCTATAAAATCTGGACTACTGTAAATTAATGTTTGTTTATTCATAACTGTTTGGTTTGATCACATTACATTTACTTTTTAATTTTTTTCTTTCATTAGGAAATGAAAATTATAAGCAAGTGGCTATGTGCATTCTCTATCACATAAGCATGGATGACCGTTTTAAATCCATGTTTGCATACACAGACTGTATTCCACAGGTAGGTATGCCTCTTTTCAAATAATCATTCCTGCCATACCATTGTCCTTACATTCTTTTGAATTTGATTCAAGATTATTTTAACTTTAAATGGATTTCTAAATGGTGCTTTAACAGCTAAATGTCTAATGAAATGTCAAACAGTACAATTCTGAGTGAAATACAAATAAATTAATTTTATCTAGTCATTTTAAACATAACAAAGATATAAAGATATAGCAGCAAAATTGAATCAATTATTTTTCCACCCAAAGGCAACCTAGGTTCTCCAGAATTAGTTTAAAAATTTCTGGTAGGTAGACACCTGTTATTGTGGCAGTCTTCTTTCCAGGTCTCACTGGAGTCTTCTCTCCCAATCCCTCTTCTATGTCTCACTCAGTCTCATCCCTAATCTTTACTTCTCGTTTGATTTTTTGAATTGCTGTTCCCAGAATTCACCCACAATTCCCCTGGGAAAAATTTTGGGAAATGCACCTAAAGTTTATGGAGCAGCTTTTGTTATCTGCATGTGGGCCTCCTATTGCCTTTCAAGAAGAAGGACACTGCTCTGGCAGTGGCAGGACTCAATGGGACTTGCAAGGATCCATAGGATGGGTAGTTTTACTGCCTGTTAAGTTCTATAGAGGTAATTTCTCAAAGACCTACCTGCCCGATAAGTTACTGTGACTCTGATAGAGCCTTGCTACTCCCAGCCACCATAAGTGCTATTTCTTTATTCAAAGACCAATAATGGTGACATAGGCCCATGTCTAGGTAATTGAAACAGTTCTGTAAACTTCTGTTTTGGCTGTATTTCCCATCCTGGGATTCTGGGAGTTGCAATCCAAAAACTCTGGAATTCCCTTCCCTAATAAATATTCCTAGTCCTTCAAATCCCACATTCCCTCAAAAATAATAGTTTCTTTGGGAGATGATGGGTGGCCAATCCAGGAAGAAAAGCTGAACCTTACAATGTTAGTTTCTCTACCTGCAGATTTCTAGTATTCCTGTCACCCAGCAGCCCTGTGAAGTTCCAAGATGGTGGGTAGTGCAAGCCAGGTGGGAAAGATTCAACCCCTTGGTTGAGTCTCTTTTCCAACATACTCCCCAGTCATCAGTTTTATCAGGCTCCAAGATGGCAGGGAAGATCATGCCAGGTGGAAAATCTCAGCTCACATATATCAGTTTGTGTACCAGCACCTTTTCAGCATGCTCTCTAGCCAGCAGTTTTCTCAGTCCCCAAGGTTGCTGGGTGTGGCAAGTTGGTACAAAATACTTAGACCTTCAATGTCATTTACTCCACCAGAAATCTTTCTGCATGTTCCTTCCATCTCCTGCTAATGATCCTTGCCCACCACTACTGCCTTCTAGTGTATTATGAAGCTGCAAAACAGAGCTGAGTGTATTCTCCAGATGTTATTGGTTTATTAGGCTTGTTGTACGTAGCTGTCAGTTGTTTGTGATGTTTATTGGTAGGTTTACGGCTTTATTGGGATTGTTTTATTGTATTTTGAAGAAAGATATAGAAATGTTTTAAATAATCAAAACAGTTCTACTTTTGGTTTCCTTTTAAAAGAATTCCAAAGTCATATTGGATGGTGGTAAATCTAACAGTAATTCTACTTTTACTTATACTCTTTCAGTGTTTGTGTCTTTTCTGTTTTTTTCATTTTGCAAGAGCTTGGCAGTAGATTTTGCCTCTTGAGTCATGCTTCCAGTCTTAACGACAGAGAGTTTTTACAGTAAGAGGCACCAACAATAAGGGTTCTTTTTCCTACATTGCCCCAACATGTGTATGACTCATCTTGGAACTATTGACTCTCAATTCACTAGAGTGAATACATTTTACTGGACTTCCATGCATTTTACCACAGGGTGACTTTGATTTAAATCACAATTTAAAAATTTTTAAATCTGATTTTTTTTTGACAATTTAAATCCTGATTTAAATCTATTTGATATTTAAAAATTATTGATTTCTATCCACCCTGTTTTGCTACAGATTCTTATAGCTGCTTCTTCATAGTCTCTGTGAGTCAGACTTACAAGTTATTCTGTATCTTCTTAGAAGTCTCTGGAATTTTCTACAGCCTAGAGATAAAGTTGTTAGCTCTGCCCCCTTACACCACTCTGGGTCTCCCACTTAATGTTACCTTCAATTCTTTTTGACCATCACTTGAGTGTGATCTCTTTGGCTATCTTCTGAAGCCTTCTCTCTTTCTCATAATGAAGACCACATTTATAATGGTTGTAAATAGTTCTTCGTTTCTCTCTCTTTTTCCCATTTTTTTTAAATAAGAGGGAGATAGAAAGGAATTTTAGTTTGAGTTATATTCCCCCCTACATAGCCCCTGTGGGTCTGTTTAAGCAGCGCTAACCTTGTAAAAATAGAGTTCTACTGACTCATAGTCACTCTCTCTACCTCTGCTGCCTAGGTGAATCCCGTCAATGAAAATCTTGCCAAAACTGCAAAAACCCAATAAGGCAGTTAATAGAAAATTAGGCATTTTAGGCTTCTTGGGCCCCACTGAAATTACACCTGTGAGAGAAGTCTTTAAGGGTTGTAGATACCATTGAGGAAAAATCCTCTTTGGCACCCTTATCAGTTTGTCAGACCCCAGCTCAATTTACCCTTCTGGAACCTGTTCCGTTGGCCTCTGTCCACACCCCATGAGACACCTCTTCTCCCCCAGTTATAAAGCAAATTTACTCACCATCAAAGGATTTGGGCTCAACTCCATCAATGGTCTTCAATTTTTACCATGGTGTCAAAGTCATTGTCATCGAAACCCATAGCTTCCAATTCAACATAGTCAAAGCCTCGGAATGACCATAGCATTCATAGTCATCCGTCCGTTGATGCCCCCACCATTGCTGCTGCAATGTATAGAATCAGATAACCTTGTAGCCTTGGCTCAGCATTGGAGGACGAAGCCAAACAGCACCTAGTACCAACTTCTCTGCCCAGTCTGTCTTCAGCACGGACCCAACTTTCTCTGTCATCTCGTGATACTAGCATACAGGAACCAACTAAATGGACCTCAAAACAACCCCATATTGAGGTCTCAGATATGGAGATTTCTCTTTGGACTCTGATCTTTATCTAAGTGGACTTCCACTTGGAGGCAAGAGGAGAAGGGGAAGACAGAGGACGAGATGGATGGACTGTGTCATTGAAGCTACCAACATGAATTTGACCAAACTCCAGGAGGCAGTGGAAGACAGGAGGGCCTGGCATACTCTGGTCCTCCCAAGAAGCAGGCGTCTTTTAATTTTGTGGCTGCTGTCACCATCTGCAGTGGGGCCCAAGAAGGTAAAAGCTGTCACTGCCTCCATATCTTCGCCTCCTATTTGCCAGGAGGTGATTAGACCAGTGGTCATGATCTTACTTAGTTTTTTTGATGTTGAGCTTCAGACTGTTTATTTATTTATTAATTTATTA